AGACTATCACTCACCCACACCAGATGGAAAACTCTACAGACTGTCGGTTCACACCCCATCACAAGCCAGCAAAACATCCACGAAACAAAGAAATATATATATTGTCACATAACTACGAGCTAAAAGAGCGCACTTTGCAAAACAAATGGTGAAGATTAAAAAAAAGACGAAGACGCGGGGCAAACTGAAACCATTCACTTTTTTCATTCTTCTTTTACCTCCCCCTTCACGGTGCGTCTCACATACAAGGCTCGCCACGTTGATGAAGTTGAGCACGAGCTGCCCGCATCCTCGTCTTCCATAACGGCCCACTTGTTTATCCACGAAAATTTGCCCCCCAGAATAAACAGGCAGTAATCTATCAATGCCACCATTTAAACCACCAGTACTTGGGGGCTTCATTTTGCCGAAGCGAATTACCCCCCGTGGGCCTGAGAGCCAAGGAAGAACGAATAGGAGCAGGCGCTTTTTTGTCTGGCCCGACCAGCCATCTCTCTCCGGTAGGCCGAGCCCCAAAAGTGGTGGCATGCACATGGCCACGTCTGAGAAAAATGGCTGAGAAAAGTACTGGTAGTTTTAAGAGGTTCGCACCTCCATCATCTACAGGACAGGCTGACAATCCACTACATGAGATAGTTCTCACCATTACGTGGCACTGACAATGCACAGGTCGCAGTCGCACTCTTATTTACAGCGTTCCACTATGGTGTTTCATACAGGATTCCATTGGTTTCTTGAAGCTTTGGAAGGCAATAGAGCTGGACATCCGGCACCATACGAGGTGTGATGCCATCGATGTACAAAGACTTCCCAAGGAGAAGAAAAGAATACATTTCCAGAAAGTTTTGGCCACACTTCACCTCGAGAGCCGCTCTGAAGAGTGATGTCCGCATACCAAGTCCTCCTTGCTTGTCTGCTTTCCCAACCTTTGAAAGTTTTGGCCACACTTCACCAGCCATTGATGCGCCTTCCAGTCCAAGTCCCCCTCCTCCCCCAGTAGCATCAATAAGCCAATCCAAAAGTGCAAATGCATCCTCACCACCTTTCAGCAACATGCTCGATTCTGCAAATCCCAAAGCAGATATGAGAGACACTAGCCCGTACGCACGCTCCCTCATGCCGGCTTCCAGGTCGGCCTCCTCCCGGGCTGCAGCAATGTAAATGACTTTCCTTCCCAGCAACCCTGCACATCACGACCAGACATCATCCAACCAGATTATCAGCCTCGCCACAGAAGCAGCAAGACTCCATATTCCATCAGATCCACCCATATCAAACAAGCACACTGTCTCACTCCTTATTTTTGCACCCATCCCGACAAATCCCTTTGGCATAACAAATGCGGATCAACAACTCGCAGATCAGCCACCTAGACACCCATCGGCAGGTGTTCAGGCCAAACTAAAGCAAGAGGAATAGTCCACTGGCCAAATGTACCTTAGAACCATGCTCGGACGTGTTATTACACCAGCAATAGAATAGACCATTGCGCTGATGGCCTAATGGGTCACCACTGTCGTCGTGAAAAGATGTCAAGCAGTCACAAATAGGATGGATGCAGCTTACTCTATCAATAGCATACTAGGTCAAGGACTGGATAGCACGGACACTATAGATTTCACCTGTTTTCACACTTCTCATTATCTTTGTCACTAATGGCAGCCCTACAGTCCACCACATACATCCCAACTGTCCTGATAAACATCTTAACGACTACCAGCAAACGACATGAACTTCAGTGCTTTGCCCATTACAAGAATTAGGAATTTAGGCCAGATTTGTTACTCCTCCTTTTTGTGCACCGGCTCGGTTTTCTGTTTTCTAGGAGGGGTTCTTGACAGAAAGTCCCTGTGCTAGTACACTTGGAAGTGCAGATAAACAGCTATACGCCGCCTCCGCAACGTGCTGGATATTGTGGAAACAGTAATTCATACCTCCACTTCCTTCTGAACTATATGTGGCTTTGTCTAAGTGCCATTCATTACCACCAGGTAAGTCAGCACCTGCTTCTCTGATCGTTCGGTCAGTCTACCATTGCTCGTTCCCTGGGTTTGCAACTTTGCATGACAGCTTGTATGCCGATTTTCAGGACCCCCTTCTCTATCCCTAACCCCCCCTTCCGCAGCATATGTTTTCTCAACCTCTCACCCATGATTACCCTTTTTTCACACTCACAAACACAAACTCGTGCGTGCACACACACACACACACACACACACACACACACACACACATGGAAAGCCAGAAGACTCAGAACACACCTTCTTGCAGTTGTCTTTACCCACTGCCCTTCCATTGATACAAGTTCCACATTTCTGATTGTCTCTCCTCCCCACCCATTTTAGTCTGTCCAGCCCTGTTCCTTTAATCCCTGCCTGGGACCTAGAGACACCAAGAGAACAGAGCGAAAAGTCTACATATGAGAAAAGACAAGTAAACCCAGTGCAGCTTTGGGTGCGTCAAAAAGGGTTTCAGAAAGTTGCAGAACAGTTTGAACGATGTTGACAGCATAACATGCACAGTGCAAGAATTGCAGACAATCTCCCCCCTTCCATCATCACCACCGCTCTACTCTCTCTCCCGGATTCTCATCCTCCTCGTCGCCATCATTCCCTCCTTGCCCTCTCATTCATCTTCCTCTTCCTCTTCTCCACCACCCTCTCCTTCTTCCGCTTCTAGCTTTCCTCTCCTCCCTGCCTTTTCTCTATCTTTCACCGTGCTTTTTGTTTTCCTACCCTTTTCATTTGTTCCCGTCTTTGCTTTTTTCATATTCAAATTTGTTTCGACACTTATCTTCTCTGACTGCTCATTTTCTTAAATATATTTTTTGTTCCTTTTCTTTCTTTTCCCGTTCCTTTCGATTACTTTCGCGTTACTCTTCTACACCTCTTCCTGGCCTCATTCTCAAGCTTTTCCCTGCACCTATTCCTCCTCCTCCTCCACCTGATCCTCAAGCTCAACTTCTCCTCCTCCTCCCCCACTTCTCCTCGTCCTCCACTTTTACTCGTCATCTACCACTTCCACCTCCTGTAGCTGTCGCTGAAGCTTTTTCCTTCTCTTCCTCCTTTGTTTTCCTTTGCTTTCTTCCTCCTCCTTTTTTTTATGTCTTTGTATATGTGTCATTAACTCATTATATGGTTCACGTTTTCATCTCCTGTCCTTGCTGACATGCTAACGTTTTCCCGTTCTGAGCAGAACTGAAACGGTTTTCACCTTTTGCAGTCACAGATGCGGGCCCTAGAGTTCGATCCCCAGATCTTACCTTACCCATGTACAGTATCGAGTCGACCCCTGGGTGTTTGAACCCGCGACCTGTGTTTCGGTAGTTGGTTGTTGTCTGCCGAAGGTCTGTGTAGTTGTAGGGGTTCGATCTGTAAGTCTGTCGAGCAGGGGTCATAGTTGTGTAGAGGCCGTAGCTGTAGCATTTCTGAAAGGTCAAGGTCGTAGCTGCTACCATCCTGAAAGGTCAAGGTCGTAGCTGCTACAGTCCTGAAAGGCCAAGTCCGTAAACTTCCGGAAGGACCGGAAGTGGCCTTTCAAGTTTCTTCTCACGTTTTACACAGCAGGCCAGAGGCAAGTGGGCAAGTGGTGAGTCCAACTTCGCCTAGTCAGTGGTACCCAGTCCCAGTCTCACTTTGCACCATCAGCAAGTACCATGACGGACTGTGTGCACCTGGGGCCCGGTGCAAAAGGGCAGACCAACGGCTTACAGAAGTATAAATCAAGAGGCAGCGCCCAGCCATTATTCATTCGCTGCGTAAGCCATGCGGAAGTGCTGCTTGGCCAGCAGGTTGCCCGAAGACGAAGTGGGCTGATGAGAGATCGTAGCCATAGTCAGTAGTGTTAGAGCGGCCATAACCGCCATAGGAAGAAGATAGGATTAGTGTGTGTGTGTGTGTGTGGTGGTATTCAGGGTGATCCAGAGTTGAGTATGTGCGAACAGTGGTATTGGACACAGTGACCAGAGTTGGTGTGCAGGCGCCAATGCGCCATAGTTTGCTGAAGTGTCTTCGCATCTGAACTTCTTTTCCATATCTCTGAGCTTTGAGTGGGCGCGAAGCGCCAGTGTGAATCGCCATCTGTTTGCATGTATGTGAAGTGGAAAAGAAAGCGAGTCTGATTGCAGAACGAGGTACGTTGACAGTTCTGCTGCAAGTGGTACACACAGCAGTGAGTTCCTCTATTGTCTCTCTCCTCACCAAGTTTCTCCCTTCCCACTTTTTTAATTCCTTCGGTTTCATGGTCTTACTCTCTAACTCACTCCTGATCGTCAGTCCATGAACACCTCATCATCTTCATCCTCCTCCATCGCTGCTGTCATACTACTCCTCCTGCTCATCTGCCTCCTCCTACTTTCTCACCCTCTTCTCCTTATCCTCCTTCTGGCACATTCTCACCATCTGCATCATCCTACTGCTCAATGATTACTATCATCAATCTGCTCGCACTCCAACCAACCCAGCCCCCAAGGACCCCCCCAAATGACCTGTGGTAAACCCCAATTGACCCCCAATCAGCACCAATTAACGCCGATTCAATGTCACGGAATCATACCTATATTGAGTTGCATAGCCTTAAGGCCTGCTGATAATTCGTCATTCAGCCTGAATGCGATGTGGGTATCCTGCCCAAAGGGGTGCCAATCTTTCAGACTTCACCATCTTGCTCGGTAATCACTACGCTCGCCTTTCCTCTCCCTCACGTTCTTCCCATCTTCTTTTCTCCCTACACATCATCGCCTCTGGCCCTTCTCTCCCCTCTCTACTATTCATTAAATGCAAGGCTCCAACCTGTGGGATGTGTGTCAATCTTATAGTTATTTAAGCCACAGTCATTTATATTCTCATTATGCTTCTAGAGCTGATAGAACCCCTACACTTCTCCCACATGCAACCCATCCAGGACAGCAGGACCAACACGACGGTTGTTCCTATGAACTCCATTCCTGACTGGCGTATATATCCCACCCCTACCTCCACGTGGGCCAGCCATTAGGCACCAAAATGGCCGTTAATGTTCCGATGGGGTTGCCCGATCAAGGACAGCAGGATTGCAAGACAGTTGTTCCCGTAAATTTTATTCTCTGATAGCTTATATGTCCCACCACCCCTACCTAAGAGTGTGGCACCAAACCCCTCCTCAAGATTGCAATCAACAAGTACACAGCACACTCGCAGGTAACTTGACATTTCCATACCGAAGGATGGAAGAGAACGCTACCCACAGTTGTGGAGAGCAAGACTCCAATCTGGATGGGTACCTCTAACTTCCAGCAAGAGGGGCACTAAAGTTGTAAATACGTTTGCTTAGTTGCTATACTTTTGTTTATGTGTGCGGGCTGATTCAAAATTTCCCTACAGCCATGGTAGCCGGCATTCGGCCAGGGCCGAATGGCCGAACCCGAACGCACAAACATTCAGCCATTTGGGCCAAACTCGGACCAAAAAAAAAAAAAAATCGAAAAAAAATATATGTTCTGCAGAAAAATAAACTGAACAAAATTTGCCTCAGATTACCTCCAAATTCTTTGCCAAATTTGAAATAAAAATAAAACACAGAAAACACATACTAATAAGAAAATTAAGAAAAATGAAGAGAGAATTAAAATCAGTGCGTGCGCGGCACGTTTTAAACACCGCCATCTTTGCCGATTTTCCTTTTTTTTTTGGCTTAGTCAAATGCCTTGAAAATTTAAAGATGTATCCCGAAAAGAAAAAAGAAAAAAGAAAAACAAATGTAGCTCACATGATAAAAAGTAAAAAGTTAAAAACTCATAAAACAAATTTAAAAAATAATAAAATTTGTGAGGATTGAGCCCTCATGGGGCCCTTATCAGGCATGCAAGTGTTCTGGGCTGCGGCCCCTTTACGAGCCTTGTGCCCGCCCTAAGTGAAGGCGCGCCTGAATATCCATGAGAGGCCAATTTTGGACATTTTCCGTAAGTCGCGTATCAGACAGTTGCAGCACGCCAGTTGGTTACAAAGCAATGTGAGCCTTCCGTGGCTCCTTCCAGAAGCTGTAGCTGCGTCGAACAGTTGAGCCCAGGGCTCACGTGGTTGTTCCCTGGGCACACGCACTGTGAGGGCAACACATCATCGAAAGGCCGCGGACCAATGAGAATGCAGCATTGTCGTCACACACCTACCCCAGGCCAATGAGATAGCAGCAAACACTTGGATCCCG